GTAATATTTTAGATTATTTTTTTATTATTTTATTATTTTAGAAAGTAAGTTGAACAATCTTTTTCAACCATACATTTTACATAGTTCCATGATTCTATATTTGTTGAAATATAGTATTGTTTTATCACAAGATATGATAGGTATTATCTAGCAATGAATTGTATTGTGTTTTTTAGTTTCATTTGTACATTTCCACAGATACTATGATGAAAATGGCAAGGTTTACAAAACCAACGAATTCAGCAGCAACTGCAAACATCATTTGTCTGATAAGCAAGGCTCGTTTGAACTTTTCGGAGACAGAGTGATCACATTAGGAACTAATATGTAAGTCTATCCTTTTGTATACATAAAGTCAGTTTAGTTTAGGTCTTTTCCTGTAGTAACACTGGATCAATAACACTGGATCAATAAGACTGGATCAATAAGATATGATCCTTACTGGACCTTTAGGAGGAACAGTTTAGAACTGATAGAGCTATCCAGTATAAATAAAGTTAGTTTTGTTTAGGTTTCCTCCTGTAGTTACACTGGATCAATAAGAGATGATCTTTACTGGACCTCTAGGAAGAACAGTTTAGAACTGATAGAGCTATGACTATCCAGTATAAATAAAGTTAGTTTAGTTTAAGTTTCCTCCTGTAGTAACACTGGATCAATAAGAGATGATCCTTACTGGACCTCTAGGAAGAACAGTTTAGAACTGATAGAGTTATCCAGTATAAATAAAGTTAGTTTAGTTTAGGTTTCCTCCTGTAGTAACACTAGATGAATAAGAGATGATTATAGATGTATATAAATTATTTCTAGACCTCTAGGAAGAAATCTCACTCACAGTGAATAGTTAAATCTTCCATCTTCCAGGTATACTGCGTCCAGGCCAGTAGAGACATCTCCTCCTAAAACCGTTTCACAGGAAACAAGCAGATCTGGATCAATGACAACTCTTACTGAGGCTGTAAGTATGACCATGGCATCTAGAACCATCGCAATTACTATAAGAGCTCACAGTAGTCTTAAACTTTGTCTCAATGCAACAGGAATCCACAGAGAATCCAAACCCAATCGCCAAAGCTGAACTCAACCTTCTTGCTCATCTAATGGGAGGAAATACTGACAAGCCATCCGCAAACAAAGGTATATACATAGGAGACAGTTATGGATTGAACCTTTATTTTTTCTCAACTTTATTTTAAGCACCTTCATATGTAGAAACCAGCAAATAGCAGTTTGAATTATTTTGATAAAGAAGAGGGTTTGAAACTAGCTATTTCCTAGATATTGGTTTTACTAGGTTTAAAATTCCCAAACTCTTTGCAGTTTGAATTATTTTGATAAAGAAGAGGGTTTGAAACTAGCTATTTCCAAGATATTGGTTTTACTTGTAGCTTTGAAATTGTTCCCTGATTCTTCGATGCAAACTAAAGTCAATTCTTGCATCCAAACAATGATTTAATTTCCATATCAGATTAAGAGGAAATATTTATAGAGGATATAAATAAAGGAAACAGCACTAAAATGTTCAGCATTAAAAATGTTTTGCAAACCTGAAAAGCATCCACAAAGTATGTTTACTGTAAAAGATTTCTCGAGATACGCCGAGAAGAAAATGACGCTTGAATCGAAACTTCTTTTATATTCATTTCAGTTATAATAGCGTTGACATTATAACATTGTTGATAGCCGCCGCATTATATTTTGTAATAACTCCTTTGTTTGGTGTTTTGACCAAATACAGTTCAAAACTTAGTTCACAACGTAATCTAAAGAATAAAGGTAAAATAAATGGATTTTTAGCGGTACGCCGAAAAGATTTTAGGTTTTGAGCGTTTTCCCGCCAAAATACGCGACATAATAAAAAATCTCCTCTTAATTGTTATTCCTTTTTTTCTCAGGAAACACTTTCCGTCTTAATCTCTTTAACACTGATGAGGAAGAGCAGTGAGTAGTTTCACCAATAATTTACTGTTGTTTTCTTTTATTAGCTTGCAATGCTCGCAGATGTGACCTACTTTAGTATTTTACTCTGTCTAATGTCAGATGATTTTACTCATCAGTGGAAGAGTACTGTCAGTTAATAAGTTAACAAAACTATCTGTCAGTGTCTCTTGTTAATCCATTAGCTTGCAATGCACCCAGATGTGACCTACTTTAGTATTTTACTCCGTCTAATGTCAGATGATTTTACTCATCAGTGGAAGAGTACTGTCAGTTAATAAGTTAACAAAACTATCTGTCAGTGTCTCTTGTTAACCCATTAGCTTGCAATGCACCCAGATGTGACCTACTTTAGTATTTTACTCTTTCTAATGTCAGATGATTTTACTCATCAGTGGAAGAATACTGTCAGTTAATAAGTTAACAAAACTATCTGTCAGTGTCTCTTGTTAACCCATTAGCTTGCAATGCACCCAGATGTGACCTACTTTTGTATTTTACTCTGTCTAATGCCAGATGATTTTAATCATTAGTCGAAGAGTACTGTCACTTAATAAGTTAATTTATCTCAGAACCATTGAACTAAACCAATTTTTTCCTTCAATTTTTAGGCAAGCAGAGGTGCACAGAGTGAAGAAACATTCGGGAAACGTCATCACCGTGGACGCAACAAAGGTACAGTTGTTTTTCTTTCTTTGCGATAAAATTTGCTTGAAACAAGATTTGCTTTTAAGTTTTAACATTTGCTGTTAAATTTCTACACTTTTACAGCTTGCTTGCCTCAAACTCATTCATGAATTTACAGTAGAGAGAAAAATGAAGAATATATTTTCTTTTTTTAAAACTATCTTTTCGTTGCATACTGTAGTTTAAAACTTTTTAAGAGGAGATATTTTTCTATGTGGCGTAATATATGCTCCAAACCTCAGTTATATCTTCATGCAACAGCACTAAAATTTTCAGCATTAAAAACGTTTTGCAAACCTGAAAAGCATCCACAAAGTATGTTTACTGTATAATCTCGAAATATTGTGAAAATGAAAAGATTTCTCGGGATACGCCGAGAAGAAAATGACACTTGAATCGAAGCTTCTTTTGTATTCATTTCAGTTATAATGGCGTTGACATTATAACATTGTTGATAGCTGCTGCATTATATTTTGTAATAACTCCTTTGTTTGGTGTTTTGCATTCACCAAATACGGTTCAAAACTTAGTTCACAACATAATCTAAAGAATAAAGGTAAAATAAATGGATTTTGAGTGGTACGCCGAAAAGATTTTAGGTTTTGAGCGTTTTCCCGCCAAAATACCCGACATAATAAAAAATCTCCTCTTAAATATAGCTAGTTGTTGTTTAAAAAACGAACAATGAGTTGAAAAGTTCTCTTTTTTGTAGACGAAGCAGCATAATGAACTTAGCAAACTGATGAGCGAATTCTCCATAGACGAGTCGTCAAGTGCAGGTATAGGATTGATTTTCAATGTATATAAACTATGCAGAATTTGAATTCAGCCTTTTTTAAAACAATGGTGTTTCAATGAAGTTGTTCTTAACATGAGGTGCTATAGGGCCTGTTACGGCTGCCACGACCATTTGATTTAAGCCTTCAGTAGCTGTTCCGCCGTAAATATGAGTGATTGTTTGCACTGACCACAAAGCGTTTAAAATCCTTTAATTGTGGACGTAAAACTACACAAAATAACATTACTCGTGACTAACTAAACATAACTAGATGATTACAGATACGAAAGGTATAGAAACAAATACAAGATATAAGCGATTTGTACCTTATTTCTCCGTATAACTAGAGTTCGTCGTTATTCCATATATTCCATGTCGCTTCAGAACTAAGTTAAAACTCAGTACCATGTGCGCTCTAATTTTATTGTCATAACCGCCTAGTAGCTAATTATAAATTCTAATAATTTACATATAAGTTCATGCAAACTCTATAGGGCCTATAGATTTAATTTCTTGTTTATTTTCTTGGTTTTCAGGCAGTAAAGGAGATGATTTGTTGGAGCTTATGGACTCAACATGAATTAAGGCTTGTGAACTCTAGAAATTTTAAGGAATTATTTTACAATTAGCTGTACATATTTAAATGAATAAATTTGATGAAACTGGATAATTCTATCAGTTCCAAACTCCCCCGTTACCCATTTCTCCCACTCCGCAGTTCCTCCATTCCTCTGTTCCCCATTCCTCCCACTCCCCAGTTCCTCCATTCCCCAGTTTCCCCGCTCCCGAGTTCCTCCATTACCTGATTCCCCCATTCCTTGATTCCCCTGTTCCCCGATTCCCCCATTCCCCGATTTCCCTATTCCCCCATTCCTCGATTCCCCGTTCCCTCTTTTAAAGATAGCTGGTTTTAAAGATTCCGGAGATTCTCATTCCGTGTTTTAAAGATTCCGGTGATTCTCATTCCGTGTTTTAAAGATTCCGGAATTCTAGTTGGTGATAAAAACTCTAAGTCTAAAAAAGTCTCACCACCAGCACTATAGCCGGTGGTAAATCTCTTCGTAAATCGCCCTTGGAGATTTTTACTAGGAAGACTTTTCTATCTCGTTCCTTGACGCACAACAGCAAGATGAGGTCACATCGACGGTCGGTAAATTTCGACCTCCAACAGGACGAGAGAACGAATGCTGACACGAACCAACCAACCAACCACACAACCAAACTCAAACTAACCTAAAACATTCAAACATATCTTTAGGCGGCGACGAAGCTCCCGAGAGCCCGGGTGGAGGACGTGAAAATCTCGCTCGACGGCGAGAAGTTGCCTGTGGAATTCTCGACCATGATTCAGTAAACTTTGAAGATTCCTATCATCCTCAATATTTCATGTTTGCAGTTCCATTGTGTTCTACTTTGCATAATTTTAGGGTCCTACTAAACACTGCCCGAGATGACTGCCTGAGATGACTGCCTGAGATGATTGCCTGAGATGATTGCCTGAGATGACTGCCTGAGATGACTGCCTGAGATGACTGCCTGAGATTACTGCTTGAGATGACTGCCTGAGATGACTGCCTGAGATGACTGCCTGAGATGATTGCCCGAGATAACTGTCAATTTACATCCTGTGGACAAGTGCTGCAAGGCCAACGCCATCCAGAATATGGAGTCCTAATCATTTTGTTCTATTATTGCTAGCCAAGGAACTGCCAACGATGACCTTCTCGGAGCAGAACAAAAGCTATTCGGAGGTTTGTCATTTAGTGTTATCAGTTAGCTGGACTTTGTGAGAGTTTTCTTGCAAAATGTTTGCCAAGGTAATTATTATAAGAGATCATAAAAGGCCTTTTAATGTTTCTCATGGTAGACTGATATGTGTTGTTTTCTGTGATTACGTGATGTTTTTCTTCATGTTGTTTATCACTGAAGCTAAAGCATTGAGATACAGCAATCTTTGACTGACTTTAGGTGTAAGACGTTCGCCCAGCTATTGTAGACCGCATGGAATCGATTCAAGTCCTTTAAAAATTTGTGAATCAAGATGAGAATGAACTTATTGAATCTGTAATTGCTGCTTTATGTTTTGGCTAAAATATAAAAAAAAACTGTTGTATGTCTCCAAAACAAAGGAGCTTATATTTACGATACCAAAAAGTACATGATTGTTTGACATCAGAAATACAAAGAATTCGGCACACAGCGACAATTCACCTTTTAAAACGAAACCAAAAACTAGAAGCAAAAAACAAATTTTGCTTCAACTGAACAAAACTAGAATGCACTGCTTTTATGAAATATAGGAAAAGACAACTTTTTTCTAGGCTTTTAGCGATTCGTTTATAGTAACATCGCTCACGATGATGTTCGGAGTTGATCGGCATGTTGTCGACATTATCATACCACGTGATCTGCTATGATCACATGGTAATTATCGCCTATAAAACTAATCTCGACGTTAAAAAAAAATTTCTTTAATTAGGTGGCGATCGAAGGTGGACAGCAAGATCGAAGCTCAGCAAGATTGAAGATTGTTCGAGGAAGAAGGAGTTCGCCGTTGACTAAAAGGTGGGTTCCGGCGATTATATGCGTAATCTGCGGTTGCTTTGTCCGACCCCAGTAGGGGGACCGTTTGCCTAGAGCGTTTTGGTCCCCCGCACGCTGCTAGTTGACTAGTTCCCACTTGTAGGCCTTTACACTAATCTACGGGAAGGCCGTAGGCCTTCCTTAAGGAGTACAGTGTAGCTGAGCCGAACCCTTTTTTTTCGTTGTATATAGGTTTATCTGAACAGCTAGTTGTCAAGATGAAGGTGAAGACTCGCCCGGCCAAATTCAAAATGGCGATGCCAAAGAAAACCATCCACGTGGACCGTTCGCGGACCTTTCCGAGCAAGATTGTTGTGCTTTCTGGTCAAAGTTAAGTATTTTACTTTGATGTTTGTGTGCCTTCTGCTAATTGTCGGCCAGAAATAACAAAAAACCATATACAATATGAAATATTCTGCGTACAAGGTTGTCTAAAGTTTCGAGCTTAATTCTGCCTGCAATGATGATAATTTTTTACTGAAAATTTATGTCATGAGCAATATCCGCACCCATAGACTGAAGCAGAACTGATCATTTTGTCATTAACGTTTATCTCAACAGCCAGTTATCAAGACGAACGTCAAGAGAACAGTTGAAAAATTGAAATCAGTTCAAAGACTCGCCCGGCCGAATTCAAAATGGCGATGCCGAAGAAAACCATCCACGTGGACCGTTCGCGGACCTTTCTGAGCAAGATTGTTGTGCTGTCTGGTCAAAGTTAAGTATTGTACTTTGATGTTTGTGTGCCTTCTGCTAATTGTTGGCCAGAAAAAACAAAAAAACCATATACAATATGAAATATTCTGCGTACAAGGTTATCTAAAGTTTCGAGCTTAATTCTGCCTGCAATGATGATAATTTTTTACTGAAAATTTATGTCATGAGCAATTTCTGCACCCATAGACGGAAGCAGAACTGAACATTTTGTCATTAACGTTTATCTCAACAGCCAGTTATCAAGACGAACGTCAAGAGAACATTTGAAATAGAAAATAAAAATCAGTTCAAGACTCGCCCGGCCGAATTCAAAATGGCGATCCCATCCACGTGAACCGTTCGCGGACCTTTCTGAGCAAGATTGTTGTGCTGTCTGGTCAAAGTTAAGTATTTTACTTTGATGTTTGTGTGCCTTCTGCTAAAACTAGACAATAATTAAGATAGTTGAAAATGCAATTTTATATTAATCATGTCTTCTTATATTCAAGATTTTTCTTGGTCAAGAGTGCAACATGAGCTGTGAATATGAACTTTACTGTCAGATGAACATTGGAAGTGACAAGATTTCTGCACAGAGGTAATTCGATTGTTTCTTCAAAATTTATATTAGCCTTGCAGCTGAAATTCTTGTAGTGACCTTGTACATATCAACTGCCCGGGTAGAGGGATGAAATATAACCATAGAATACCTGACTAAAAATTAGACAATAATGATAGTTGAAAATGCAATTTTATATTAATCATGTCTTCTTATATTTAAGATTTTCCTTGGTCAAGAGTGCAACTTGAGTTGTGGATATGAACTTTACTGTCAGATGAACATTGGAAGTGAACAAGATTTCTGCGCAAAGGTAATTCGATTGTTTCTTCAAAATTTATATTAGCCTTGCAGCTGAAATTCTTGTAGTGACCTTGTAATACATATCAACTGTCCGGGTATATATTTTGTTATTTAGTATAAAAGGGAATTTGCTGCAACTAGGATCTTTTTTTGAAAAATTGTCAGGCAGTCACAAATTTTGTTAAGATTACTTAGTTAACATTGCTTCTATGCTCACTATGTGTCACCAGTAATAAATTCCTGTGGTGGTCTTTAAATAAATATAGCAACCATAGTTATATGTAGAGGGATGAAGTATAACCATAGATTACCTGATTAAAAACTAGACAATAATTAAGATAGTTGAAAATGCAATTTTATATTAATCATGTCTTCTTATATTTAAGATTTTCCTTGGTCAAGAGTGCAACTTGAGTTGTGGATATGAACTTTACTGTCAGATGAACATTGAAAGTGAACAAGATTTCTGCGCAAAGGTAATTCGATTGTTTCTTCAAAATTTATATTAGCCTTGCAGCTGAAATTCTTGTAGTGACCTTGTAATACATATCAACTGCCCGGGTATAGAATACCTGACCAAAAACTAGACAATAATTAAGATAGTTGAAAATGGAATTTTATATTAATCATGTCTTATTTATATTCAAGATTTTTCTTGGTCAAGAGTGCAACATGAGTTGTGGATATGAACTTTACTGTCAGATGAACATTGGAAGTGACAAGATTTCTGCACAGAGGTAATTTGATTTTGTCATGGATGGTCAGCATTTGATTTTAAAAAGCCACTACATTGTTGAGATGACAACTATGAAATTGAAATTTGCTTCTATGGTCACCATGTGTGAAACCAATGATGAAACTTAATGCTATAACAGTTGAACCAGTCTGGCTGATTACTAAAATTCCTGTGGTGGTCTTACAATAAATATCCACGAAAAAGATCAGCAGTTACTATTTTAAACTTGGGAGAAATTTTTCTGATTTCCATGTGATTTATATTCTGTAGTACTCAGAAGGGTGATACCCAGTTTTTCTGTGTTCAAATTAAATAGTGACATATGTCTATGTGACACATTCTTTTTATTGAAAATGGCAAAAATATAATTGGCATAAAACAGAATGCATTCATGAATGTATTGTCTATCCATGAAAGACGACTAAAATAAGATAATGAGTAATATCTTTTAATAATGATGTCAGGTTGAAAATACAAACTTTGCTGCCACTTTTTGCCTAAAAGGATTGATGAAATGCTTTTTCTCTTTAGAATGAATGAAGTTGAAGAAAGTTGAAAGGCACCCCTGAAGAATGTGAATTATTTTAGCCCTATCCTAGATTCATTGATTAATATATTTTAGTGTGTGATAACATGTGTGAAATGTGATCAATTATGTGACAATTTTCAAAACTTGGATTTATAAAGAGAAATTTTTCTTTGTAAAGTTTAGGAAGTAAACCTTTTTTGTCTGGTGGTGTTAGTGTTTTGATTTTGCATGTTTTTCCGTGTACTTTCACAATTGAAAAGATTTTGGCAGTTGCTTCTAAATGTTTTTTGAAAAGTTTAAGAAGAAACTTTTTTTGTCTTGTGGTGTTTGTTGTTTCGATTTTGCATGTTTTTCCGTGTGCTTTCACAATTGAAAAGATTTTGGCAGTTGCTTCTAAATGTTTTTTGAAAAGTTTAAGAAGAAACTTGATTTTTGTCTTGTGGTGTTTGTTTTGATTTTGCATGTTTTCCGTGTGCTTTCACAATTGAAAAGATTTTGGCAGTTGCTTCTAAATGTTTTTTGAAAAGTATAAGAAGAAACTTGATTTTTGTCTTGTGTGTGTTTGTTGTTTCGATTTTGCATGTTTTCCGTGTGCTTTCACAATTGAAAAGATTTTGGCAGTTGCTTCTAAATTTTTTGAAAAGTTTAAGAAGAAACTTGATTTTTGTCTTGTGGTGTTTGTTTTGATTTTGCATGTTTTCCGTGTGCTTTCACAATTGAAAAGATTTTGGCAGTTGCTTCTAAATGTTTTTTGAAAAGTATAAGAAGAAACTTGATTTTTGTCTTGTGGTGTTTGTTGTTTCGATTTTGCATGTTTTTCCTTGCGCTTTCACAATTGAAAAGATTTTGACAGTTGCTTTGGGCCTTTGGCTTTTTCTTATACTTCTTTTCTCTTTAATTTCTTCTTAGTATTAGTTTTTTTTCTAAATATATTTTCTCTTATTTTTTTTATGAAATTCTTTTTTTTACTTTAGTGTTGAAGAAAGTTGAAAGGCACCCAGATTTATTAATTCATATATTTTAGTGTGAAATGTTATGAATTATGTGACAATTTTCACAACTTGGATTTATATATAAAGATAACTTTTTTCTTTGTAAAGTTTAAGAAGTAAACCTTATTCATCTGGTGGTGTTAGTGTTTTTATTTTGCAAGTTCTTCTGTGTGACTTGACAATTCCAAATTAAACCTCTTAGTATTTTTTCTAAGTTTTAAAAAAAACCTGTTAGTGTTATCTTCTATTTATCTAGTTTTTTTTCTCTCTAGTTTTTTTTCTCTAGTTTTTACTTCTATTTCTCTAGTTTTTTTTTCTACTTAGTTTTTTTTCTCTCTAGTTTTTTTTTCTCTCTAGTTTTTTTACTCTAGTTTTTACTTCTATTTCTCTAATTTTTTTTTCTATTTTTCTACTTAGTTTTTTTTCTCTCTAGTTTTTTTTTCTCTCTAGTTTTTTTACTCTAGTTTTTACTTCTATTCCTCTAGTTTTTCTACTTAGTTTTTTTTCTCTCTAGTTTTTTTTCTCTCTAGTTCTTTTTACTCTAGTTTTTACTTCTATTTCTCTAGTTTTTTTTCTATTTTTCTACTTAGTTTTTTTTCTCTCTAGTTTTTTTTTACTCTAGTTTTTACTTTTTTTTCTCTAGTTTTATTTAACTTTTTTCTTTGTAAAGTTTAAGAAATAAACCTTTTTCGTCTGATGGTGTTAGTGTTTTTATTTTGCAAGTTCTTCTGTGTGACTTGACGATTCTAAATTAAACCTCTTAGTATTTTTTAGTATTTTTTCTAAGTTAAACCTGTTAGTATTTTCTTCTATTTCTCTAGTTTTTTTCTCTAGTTTTTTTCTTCTATTTCTCTAGTTTTTTTCTATTTTCTCTTGTCTTTTATTTCCTCTATTTCTCTAGTTTTTTTTCTATTTTTCTAGTTAGTTTTCTTTTCTCTAGTTTTTTCTTCTATTTCTCTAGTTTTTTTTCTATTTTTCTAGTTAGTTTTTTCTCTAGTTTTTCTTTCTAGTTTTTTCTCTAATTTTTTCTTAATGTTTTTCTCTAAGTATTTTCTAAATGTTTTTTGAAAAGTTTAAGATGAAACTTTCTTCTGTTTTTCCAGTTTTTTTTTCTTTAGTTTTTCTAGTTAGTTTTTTTCTCTAGTTTTTTTCTCTAGTTTTTTTTTTCTAGTTAGTTCTTTTCTCTAGTTTTTTCTTCTATTTCTCTAGTTTATTCCCTATTTTTTTTCTATTTAGAAAAATAGAAAAAAAAACTAGAGAAATAGAAGAAAAAACTACAAAATCGAAACAAGTACTATGTCTTGGGCTACCTGTGTCAAGCGAGACACAGGTAGCCCAAGACAGACACAGGTAGCCCAAGACAAAATACATCTTTGTCAAAAAAAAATCTTAGAGAATTTCAAAAGTGAAAAAAATTAAATTTTTTCACTCTCGAGAAAATCACCCTGTCAAATTTTCGTGAAAAAAAATTAAGGTAAGTA